GTCTTGCTCTGCTGCCCAGCCTGGAGTACAGTGGAGAAATCTCCACTCACTGTGGCCTTGAACTCCTGGACTCATGTTCCTTCCACCTCAGCCTCCCAAGTAGCTGGGACTACAGGTGTGTTCCGCCATGCCCAGCTAATTTTCGTATTTTTTGTAGAGACACGGTTTCACCATGTTGCCTAGGCTGGTCTCAAACTCCTGAGCTCAAACAATCCACCCACTTCAGTCAAAGTGCTGGGATTATACCTATGTGTGTTGATTGCTATCTTATGGAAAGATAAAAAATCAGGATGGATGAGGAACATTTTGTTGTGGCAAAGATAAAAAGACACTATAAGGTGATTCCTGGCTCTAGCTTTGTGCATGTTAGAAAGCATGTTAACATTATCCATTGGTTGTGTTTTGACAGTTTTAATCCACATCAGATAAAAATAAATCTATCTTATTGGCTGGGCAAGGTTGCTCATATCTATAATCCCAGCACTTTGGGCTTGGCCAACATAGTTTCAACGTAGTGAAACCCCATCTCTAGTAAAAATACAAAAATTTGACCAGGTGTGGTCATGGGTGACTGTCATCTCAGCTGCTTGGGAGGCAGAGGTGACAGTGAGCCAAGATTGCGCCATTGCACTCCAGCATGGGCAACAAGAGCGAAACTCTCTCTCTCAAAAAAAAAAAAAAAGAATAAATATATCTTATTGAGACAAGTTGAGTATGAGTTTACAATCACACTCAAGAGAGAAATACAAAATTTATAATAGTTGTAATCAAAGAAGGCATATAGGCTGGCACGGTGGCTCACGCCTGTAATCCCAGCACTTTGGGAGGCTGAGGCGGGCAGATTGCCTGAGCTCAGGCGTTTGAGACCAGCCTGGGCAACATGGTAAAACCCCGTGTCTACTAAAATACACAAAAAAATAGCTGAGCACGGTGGCATGCACCTGCAGTCCCAGCTACGTGGGAGCCTGAGGCAGGAAAATTTCTTGAACCCAGGAGGCGGAGGTTGCAAGATTGTGCCACTGCACTCCAGCATGGGTGACAGAGCAAGACTCTATCTCAAAAAAAAAAAAAAAAAAAAAAAAAAAAAAAAAAAAAAAGAAGAAGGAAAGAATATAGTATGTTTATTATTGATTTCCACAAGGAATAGGTTAATGCATGTGTGTATCCAATTTCTGTCAATATTTTGTCTTTTTAAGAACAGATCATTATGTTAATGTATACAAACCAGAAAGTATAAACAGAGAAAAATGTAAATCAGTTAAGTAACCACAAATGAGGCTGCAGTGAGCTATAATCATGCCACTGCACTCCAGCCTCGGCAACAAAGACCCTGTCTCACACACATGCAAAATAGCCTATGAATGTTTCATTTTTTTAAATTAAAGACAACCTAATCACTAGTAATTCAGAATTGCATTGGGAAACATAATAAAGTCGCCTGTTCTACATAACAGTAAATTGATAACTCAGATTCACATATTTGTCTGAAATGATCTTTCCTAACTTTAAAACAAATTAAGGTTTTTATTTTGAGACAAACTTAGAGTATATGCAGTTGCAATAATAATACAATAAGATCTCATGTTCCCTTTACTAAGTTTTCACCAATGCTAATTGTCTTGAAAAACTATGTATCATAAGCATGATGTTGACATTTGGTCAAAACAGAACATTTCCATCATCACAAGAATTCCTCATGTTGCCTTTTTATAGCCACATCCACATCCCCCTTGACCCTACTCCCTCCTTAACTACCCTGTAAATCACAAAAAGAGACTTAATCATAAGAACTTATTGGCCGGGCGCGGTGGCTCAAGCCTGTAATCCCAGCACTTTGGGAGGCCGAGGCAGGTGGATCACGAGGTTGAGAGATTGAGACCATCCTGGTCTCTACTAAAAATACAAAAAAATCAGCTGGGCATGGTGGCACGTGCCTGTAATCCCAGCTACTCAGGAGGCTGAGGCAGAAGAATTGCCTGAACCCAGGAGGCGGAGGTTGCAGTGAGCCGAGATTGCGCCATTGCACTCCAGCCTGGGTAACAAGAGCAAAACTCCATCTCAAAAAAAAAAAAAAAGAACTTATTAACTGATTGAAACAAATTTTTGATTGTATAGCATGATATAAAATACGTAATGTTAAAAAATGTACACACAAGGAGTTTTGTTTTTGACAGTACTGTTGGACAAATAAGCAAAAGACCTTCTAAAAAGACAGCGAGGAAAAGACCAATGTATAATTCAGAGGGTAGACAGAGAAGGGAGAAGTGGGCAGAGAATGAGGAAGAGGAATATTATAAGTGGAAATAGTTGAGAATTTTTGAGAACCAATGAAGGATGTGAATTCTTGGATTGAGGAAGTAAAAAATAAATCTCTTAAGTATAAACCTATATAAATCCACCCTATAATATAGTGTTAATGAAGTTATTGTTTACTTTTTGTCCAAAGGATTTAAAATTTTTACCTAGAATATTCGTAGAATACAAAAGAAACTGGTAGCCATGATTGACCCTAGAAAGCATGGACTGAGATACCCGCCCCAAAATAGCCCACTCTCCCACAGGGCCAAAATCCAGGCCTTCTTTGAAAGGGCATAGACATGGTTCAGAATGGCAGAGAGGTAGGACTTTCAGGAAGTCAACCTCTGGGTAGATGGCAAAAGCCAGCTTCAGAGATGACTACCCCTTATTACTCGCTGTGAAGCCACCCAAGGGCATGTTAGAGGCCGGTGCTGCTGGAGGCCACATACTACAGGAGCCAAGGGCTACTGCTGCAGGTACTACAGGAGCCTGATAAGAGTGAAACAAACCTAGGAAGAGAAAAAACCCTCCTCCTCTAGTGTCCTCCCCACACTCTGCTGGGAGAGAGTAACATCATGCCAGGTGACAAAGGAGAAGTGTTCACAGAATCCAGTTCCAATACTGCAGAGCAGGCAGTAAAGGATTCAGAGTTGAGAGGCAGTAAATTGATAATTACCACAAAGTTTTAAAATTCCTGGAATATATTAAAAATGAAGCAGGTGGCCAGGAGCTGTGGCTCACACCTGTAATCCCAGCACTTTGGGAGGCCAAGGTGGACAGATCACAAGGTTGAGTTCAAGATCAGCTTGACCAACATGGTGAAACCCTGTCTACTAAAATTACAAAAATTAGCCGTGTGTGGTGGCAAGTTCCTATAATCCCAGCTACTTGAGATGCTGAGGCAGGAGAATTGCTTGAACCCAGGAGGCGGAGGTTGCAGTGAGCTGAGACTGCACCACTGCACTCCAGCGTGGGTAACAGAGTGAGACCCTGTCTCAAAAAAAAAAAAAAAAAAAAAAAAAATAAAAAAAAATGAAGTGGGCTGGGCATAGTAGCTCTCACCTGCAGTCCAAGCACTTTGGGAGGCTGAGGCAGGTGGATCATCTGAGGTGAGAAGTTCAAGACCCGCCTGGTCAACATGGTGAAACCCTATCTCTACTAAAAATACAAAAATTAGCTGGCCATGGTGGTGTATGCCTGTAGTTCCAGCTACTCAGGAGGCTGAGGCAGAATTGTTTGAACCTCGGAGATAGAGGTTACAGTGAGCCAAGATTGCACCATTGCACTCCAGCCTGGGTGACAAAGCTAGACCCTGTCTAAAAAAAAAAAAAAATGAAATAAAGTGGGCCAAACGTGGACTAATGATAGGACCGTGTAATAAATTACATATTATGAATAATGTACTTTTGTCTGAAGAATTTACAAAACTTACTTGGAATACTCCTGTTAGAAAGAAAGAAACTGATAGTACTTGTTGCACCTGCGGAGAGAAAGTGAGTGGCTACAAAACTGAATATTAGGGGACATTTAATTTTCACATTTTTGGCAAATTTTGCATTTTTATAATGTGTGCTTTTATTATTTAAACAAAAAAATTAAAAGGTTTTAAAAGATAGCCGGGCGCGGTGGCTCAAGCCTGTAATCCCAGCACTTTGGGAGGCTGAGGCGGGTGGATCACGAGGTCAAGAGATCGAGACCATCCTGGTCAACATGGTGAAACCCCGTCTCTACTAAAAATACAAAAAAAAAAAAAAAAAAAAAAAAAAAAAAGGTTTTAAAAGATAAATGTAATCTCAGAATACATACACCAGATACTCTTTAATCCCACTGTTTGGAATTTGCTAGACAGAAACAAAAAGGGTAAGAATGTTTACTGCGTGAGAGTTCCAGGTGAAAATCAGAAACAATTTGAATGTCTATAGTAGGTGATGGCTCAAAATGCTGACATACATTCCATTCTAGAAATATTCTGAAGCTTAAAGATGGTTACATCTTTATGTACTGAGCTGGAAAAGTATTCATGATTATTGTGAAAAGGACAAGGCACTAAAATGTCCATACAGGGATAAAACCTCCTCCAAACACATGCAACAAATGTTTTCTGTGTACAAGTTGTTTGAGCATAATGGAAGAAGAAATTAACATACTAGTTATCTCAGATTTGTGGGAGGGGAGGAAATTGTTTTCATTTTATTTATGCTGTATTTCACTGGTTTCAGTGAAATGTAATTTTAGAAGATTTGTTCTCAATAATGGTTAATACAGTAACTCAAAAACAGCATTAAAATGAGAGCAAAATTGGCCGGGCGCGGTGGCTCAAGCCTGTAATCCCAGCACTTTGGGAGGCCGAGGCGGGTGGATCACGAGGTCGAAAGATCGAGACCATCCTGGTCAACATGGTGAAACCCCGTCTCTACTAAAAATACGAAAAAACTAGCTGGGCATGGTGGTGCATGCCTGTAATCCCAGCTACTTAGGAGGCTGAGGCAGGAGAATTGCCTGAGCCCAGGAGGCGGAGGTTGCGGTGAGCCGAGATCGCGCCATTGCACTCCAGCCTGGGTAACAAGAGCGAAACTCCGTCTCAAAAAAAAAAAAAAAAAAAATGAGAGCAAAATTTACACTTTTCCGTTTTCTCACTTAAAAACATTTGGTTTTCAAGAATTAGTTAAATAAATCAATACTAATGAAACATGGTAGCTTATCAACTTTTTCCTTAAATAAAACAAAGACAATGTATATTTCCATCAACAAATTTCATGATGCTAGAGTAGGATGGGGAGGGATGAGTGGAAATGTGACTGGCTTCTCACCAGTATGAAGAGTCTGATGTAAGTTAAGTTGTAATCCATGATTAAATGCCTTCCCGCATTGATACAGTTTCTTCCCAGAATGAATTCTCTGATGGTGTGAGAAACTTGAATGATAGCTAAAGGCTTTCCCACATTCCTTACATTCATAGGGTTTCTCACCAGTATGGATTCTTTGATGTTGAATAAGGTGTGAATGAAGTCTAAAGGCCTTGCCACATATCACACATTCATGAGGTTTCTCACCGGTATGAATTCTCTGATGTCTTTTGAGGTGTGAACACTGTCTAAAAGTCTTCCCACATTCCTTACACTCGTAGGGTTTCTCACCAGTGTGAATCCTCTGATGTAGGGTTAGTTGTAAGCCATCACAGAAAGCCTTCCCACATTCATGACATTCATACGGTTTCTTGCCAGAATGAATTTTCTGATGGTGAGAGAAGCTTGAGTGGTAGCTAAAGGCCTTCCCGCATTCCCGACATTCATAGGGTTTCTCACCAGTGTGAATTCTTTGATGTATAGTAAGATGTGAGCGATGCCTAAAAGTCTTCCCACATTCTTTACATTCATAAGGTTTCTCACCAGTATGTAGTCGCAGATGTTCAGTAAGTTGAAAGCCACGAATAAAAGCTTTCCCACATTGCTTACATTCATAGGGTTTTTCACCAGTATGAAGTCTCTGATGTTGAGTAAGCTGTGATCGCTGTCTAAAGGCTTTCCCACATTCTTTACATTCATAAGGTTTCTCACCAGTGTGAATTCTTTGATGTAGAGTAAGCTCTGAGCCATAATTAAAGGCCTTCCCACATTCATTGCATTCATAGCGTTTTTCACCATTATGAATTCTTAGATGTTGTTTAAGTTGTGAGCAATGAACAAAGGCCTTCCAACATTCTTTACACTCATTGCATTTGTCACCATTTTGAATTATCTGTTGTTTAAAAAGGTATGGTGTATTAACAATTTCTGTGCATTCTTTACATTCAGAAAGTTCTTCAGAATGAGTTTTGTGGTGACTAAAAAGTAAATGGTAACTGAAGTTTTTTCTACACTTTTTACATTCAGAGATTTTCTCTCTATCATAAAATTCTTGAGTGAGTAAAGTATGTTGGCTAAAAATGGGCATGTTCTCATGGTTAATCAAAAATTGTCTAAAATAGCCCTCCTTTTGTCCCTGATGTTGCTCAAAATGACAGTTGCCTTCCCAGATATCTCTAAAAATTGCTCTCTCAAGATTACGGCTTTCAAATTCTTCCATGTTAACCCACTGGGATAATTCTGTTTCACAAATATCTCTTTTTGGAGACAATTTCTGGGGCTCATCTCTGGATGCCAAGTCTGAAAGATAAGAAATATATTTTAACTCCTCATTTTGTACCATAAGAGAAATAAAACATCTATGGCAGCAATGAGAGGTAACGGCAAATAGTCCACATAAGAGAGAAAAGGCTTGGAGAACTTTTTTTTTTTTTTTTTGAGACAGTGTCTCACTCTGTTGCCCAGTCTGGAATACAGTGGAGCGATCTTGGCTCACTGCAACCTCTGCCTCCCGGGTTCAGTAGTAGTTTCTTCATTTTCATTACTATATAGCAGCAGTACTCAATGGGTGGTCCAAAGACTGTGGAGGGTACCTGAGACCCTTTTGGGAAGTCTATAAGGTCAAAGCTATTTTCATACTAATCCTGAGACATTTGCCTTTTTCACGTATTCTCTTACTATGAGACTACTAGAACTGTGATGATGTCACATTCTGAAATCTAATAGAACGTGTGATTATGTATTTCTGTGTATTATAGAAGTTTCTGGAGTAGTAGGTTTGGAGAATAAATGTGTACTTTCAGAGATTAGCTTTGTTACCAGTACTTCTACTGTGCTCTTAAAAACTCTGTTTATTTATACCTGCTTTTATGTCTGTAACCTCATTATTGTCTAAGAAATTATTGTGAAATCCCCAAGTTTTCCATGTACATATATGGAAACAAAAGAATATTTCATTTTATAATAATATTTTATTATACAATAAAAAGAGAATATGTATTTCTTGTATTTGAAAAAAATTTTTTTTTTTTTTTGAGATGGAGTCTCACTCTGTCACCCAGGCTGGAGTGCAGTGGGATGATCTCGGCTCACTGCAACCTCCACCTCCCAGATTCAAGCAATTCTCCTGCCTCAGCTTCCCAAGTAGCTGGGATTATAGGTATGTGCCATCGCATCCAACTAATTTTTGTATTTTTAGTAGAGACGGGGTTTCATCATGTTGGCCAGGCTGGTCTAAAACTCCTGACCTCAGGTGATCTGCCCACCTTGGCCCCCCAAAGTGCTGGGATTACAGGAGTGAGCCACCGTGCCTGGCAAGTTTTTTGTTTTTTGGTTTTTGGGTTTTTTTAGATGGAGTCTTGCTCTGTGGCCCAGTCTAGAGTGCAGTGGTGTAATCTTGGCTCACTGCAGCCACTGCGTCCTGGGTTCAATCAGTTCTCTGTGTCAGCCTCCCAAGTAGCTAGGATTACAGGTTTGTGCCACCACAGTGGCTAATTTTTTTGTATCATTAGTAGAGATGGGGTTTCCCCATGCTGGTCAGGCTGGTCTCAAACTCCTGGACTCAAGTGATCCACCCACCTTGGCCTCCCAAAGTGCTGGGTAAAAATATACAAAAATAAAAATTTAGCTGGGTATACTGGTATGTACCTGTCCTGTGGTCCCAGCAAGTTGGGAGGCTGAGGTGGGAAGATTGCTTGAGCCTGGTGGGAGGTCCAGGCTTCAGTGAGCTGTGATTACTTCACTGCACTCCGACATGGGTAACAGAGTGAGACCTTGTCTCAACAACAAAAAAGATCTGTTGCACAATCCTGTGCCCACACTTGACAATACTGTATTGTACACCTAAAAATCCATTAAGAGGGTAGATTTCATGTTAAGTATTTACAACACAATAAAAATTTAAGAAGTGTTTACCTATTTAATAAATTATTTGTTATATTAGCACATAGCACCAATATATAAAAATATTAATTGTCGGGTGCGGTGGCTCAAGCCTGTAATCCCAGCACTTTGGGAGGCCGAGGCGGGTGGATCACGAGGTCGAGATCGAGACCATCCTGGTCAACATGGTGAAACCCCGTCTCTACTAAAAATACTAAAAATTAGCTGGGCATGGTGGCGCGTGCCTGTAATCCCAGCTACTCAGGAGGCTGAGGCAGGAGAATTGCCTGAACCCAGGAGGCGGAGGTTGCGGTGAGCCGAGATCGTGCCATTGCACTCCAGCCTGGGCAACAAGAGCGAAACTCCGTCTCAAAAAAAAAAAAAAAAAGAAAGAAATGTGCAGAAATTGAAAAACAGTGCCACTTTTCACACTAAATATTTTTGTTTTGTTTTGGAAAACATCATACATTATTTAACATGTAGTTTACTATTTTTAAATTAATTAAATATTTCATTTTTCCTATATTTAATTTCTAAGATAGTTAATATTGAAAGATACAATCTACATATGCTAGAGCTCTTGGGGTCCTCAATAATTTTTAAGAGCATATAGACATCCAGAGGGAAAAAAGTTTGAGACTGATCACTGTATATAGCATTTCATTCTAACACAATTTATTTTTCCATACACCTTATGATGGACATTCTGGTTGCTTCCTATAGTTTACTATTATATAAGTAGTGCTATTAACATTCTTGTACATTTCTTTTGGTGGAACTCTTTTCTGTTAGGTATGCACATAGGAGTGAAACTGCTACATCATAGGATATAAATTTATTCAGCTTTAGTTGACACTATGCAACAATTTTAAAATTTAGGCCAGGTGTGGTGGTTCACACTTGTAATCCCAGCACTTTGGGAGGCTCAGATGGGCGGATCACTTCAGGTCAGAAGTTCAAAATCAGCCTGGTCAACATGGTGAAACCCTATCTCTACTAAAAATAGAAAAATAAGCTGGGCATGGTGGTGGGTCCCTGTAATTTCAGCTACACAAGAGGCTAAGGCAGGAGAATTGCTTGAACTCAGGAGGTGGAGGTTGCAGTGGGCCAAGATTGCACCACTGCACTCCAGCCTAGGTGACAGAGTGAGGCTCTGTCATGAAAAAAATATTTCTAATTTAAAATTCCAGGCCGGGCGCGGTGGCTCAAGCCTGTAATCCCAGCACTTTGGGAGGCCGAGGTGGGTGGATCACGAGGTCGAGAGATCGAGACCAACCTGGTCAACATGGTGAAACCCCGTCTCTACTAAAAATACAAAAAATTAGCTGGGCATGGTGGTGCGTGCCTATAATCCCAGCTACTCAGGAGGCTGAGGCAGGAGAATTGCCTGAACCCAGGAGGCGGAGGTTGCGGTGAGCCGAGATCGCGCCATTGCACTCCAGCCTGGGTAACAAGAGCGAAACTCCATCTCAAAAAAAAAAAAAAAAAATTCCATCAGGCTGTCAGAGAACTCCTGTTCTTTACATCCTCACCAATGCTTGTTATTGTCAATCTTCTGTTTAGCCACCAGGCAGATATGTTTACATCGTAGTGTAATTTGCAATTTCCATGAGGACAAATAAAGCTGAGCACTTTTTCATGTTTATTGGCCAACTGGATATCTTTAATAAACTGCCATCCAGGCCTTTGATTTTTACATTGATTTTTAATGTAAAATTCATGTAACATAAAATTGACCATTTTAATGTACACAATTCAGTAAGTTTTAATACATTCTCAATGATATACAACTGTCACCACCATCTAATTCCACAACATTTGCATCACTCCAAAAAAACCCTAACACCCATAGTCACTTCCTACTTTCCCCTTTCCCCCACCCCGGCAACTACTAGTCTGTTTTAGGTCTCTGAATTTGCCTATTCTGACATTTTATATAAATGGAATCATATAATATGTGACCTTTGGGTTTTGCTTTCACTCAGCAAGTTTTCAAGTTCAGCCAAGTTGTAGCATTCATTCCTTTTTATGGCTGAATACTATTTCATTGTATGGATATACCACATTTTATTTATTCATTCATCAGTAAATTGGACATGTGGCTGATTTCTCAGTTGTCTTTTCTTAATGATTTATAGAAATTCTTTGTAAGTTCTACATATGACCAACTTATGTATTACAGATGTCTTCTCCCACTCTAGGACTGGCACTGGCCAATTTCATTCTCTTAGTAATATACGTGTGTGTGTGTGTGTGTGTGTGTGTGTGTATGTAAATATATATATGTGTATATATATGTGTGTTTATATATATATATATATATATATATATATATATATATATATAATTTTTTTTGAGATGGAATCTTGTTCTGTCACCCAGACTGGAGTAGAGTAACACAGTCTCAGCTCACTGCAACCTCTGCCTCCAAGGTTCAAGTGATTCTCCTGCCTTAGCCTCCCAAGTAGCTGGGATTACAGGTGTGTGGCACCACGCCTGGTGAATTTTTGCATTTTTAGTATAGATGGGGTTTTGCCATGTTGCCCAAGCTGGTCTCAAACTCCTGACCTCAAGTGATCCACCTGCCTTGGCCTCCCAAGTGCTGAGATTACAAGTGTGAGCCAGTGGGTTCAGCCATTCTCTTAGTAATAAGTTTTAACGAACAAAAGTTCTTAATTTTAAGTAATCCAATCCCAAGGTTATGAAAATAAACTCATATTATCTTCCAGAAATTTAACTATTTTACCTTTCCTATTGAGATCTGTAATCCACCTGGACTACATTTTCAACCTTCCTATTTTTCCAGATACCCAATTTACTCAGTATCATTTACTGAAAAGACCATCCTTTCCTTACCTTTGTTTTAAATCAAATGACTGTGTAAATTAGCCATTTTCTCTGTAATCCACTCCCATACGTATTTCAACTCCTGTAATGGAATTGAAACATCTCTAGCTAAGGTCACGAAGAAAATCACCTTGCCAAAATCAGTGCTCAAGTGCCAATCCTTACTCTACTCGCCTCTTCAGCATTATGACACATCTAATCAATCACCTTGCTTCCTGTATACCATATTCTCCTGGTTATCCTCATACCTCTCTGACCACTTGTTTTCAGTTCCCTTTAACACATTCTCTTCCTCTCCCTGACTTCCACATGTTGGAATGTCCCAGAACTCAGGCTCTGGCCAGCTCTCTTCTTAATATATACTCTTTCCATAGGCTTAAATACAAGCTACACACTGCTAAGTCTTACAATATACCTCTCATATTTTTAGAAAAAAATTAATTGTGGTAAAATAGCACATAAAATAGAATTTACCACCTTAACCATGTTTAAGTGTATAGTTCAGTAGTATTAAGTGTATTCATAGCCGGGCACGGTGGCTCAAGCCTGTAATCCCAGCACTTTGGGAGGCC